TATGATACAGAATACATCCAGAAGAGGTTTTTAATAGGTGAGATCACGAGTCAATTGAAACTAGACTACCATGGAAAATCAGGAAGCATTGGACGGCACAACAATCCTCATCAGTGCATATCGGCGATCCCGCCGAGCGAGATTCGAATCCAGGACTTATCGGTCTCGTGCGCGAGCGCTTAACCTCTAGACCACTGAGTGGGTATCCAACGGTATTAATGTCTAACTTCAACTAATCCACGAAATTGAGCAATACATCCACCATTGTCTTCAGTGAGTTACTATCTCACAACAGACTCGGTTGAACTCCAGTGGTCACTGTTTCTCACTTGAACTTCATGAAATACCTCTTCGAGGAGTCCCAATATAGAAAGAAATGGCCGTTCAGTATTTCCAAGTTTTCCATGATGGTCTAGCTTCAATTGACTAATGGTCTCAATCTGATATGTTTTCACTTCTACATACTATTTAAGATTCACAAACTATGTGGAAGACTACTTTTAAACTCATAAAAACCTGTTGAGTAATTCATGAAATGCTATTAGTTATTTATTAAGGTAATTCACTAATCAAATGAGTTCTTATCGATTGTGTCAACCTTTACAATAAAGATTATAAAGATTAAAACAATAATGTAACACATTGATATTCTCCTATACTCAGTAATGATTGGTTCGCCGGTTTCTGATTCATAATTTGATCACCACACTAAATCATCAAGATGAACATTGATGACATTGTTTCCGATCACTAATATTTGGGATAATAATTGAATGAACTACAAAGTAGTGAAAATATACTAAACATTAGAACTTCCATAAGATAATTGAAACTGTTTTGTTCATCAATTAATATATACTACTGAAATGCTCCTTTTATTAAAGAATTATTTACTTATAGTTACACTTATAAAATGTGTATTTATTATTAGAAAAGAAATTGATATACAGAATAAAAGAAAGTACAATCAAGATAAATACCATATGATTAATAATCGTATCATCTTTGAAAAGAAAACAACAATAACAATCCTAATGAAAAGGTCATCTTTAGTAATACTGCCGACAAATGATAGACAGTTACTCCTCTCTAACTCTATAACTAGACACAACTTCTTGTCTACAATTGTGTATGTGTATGTATGTGATAGAGAGATTAATATGCCGTAGATTCATGTTATCTATTGAAGTTTGCTATTATCACTATTATTATTATTATTATTATTATTATGATATATGATAATGATCAGTTAAAATATTAACAACAATGTACAAATCGTTCGATGGACTGTTTTCTTCAATTTGCTACTTTATAGTATCTTATTTACTAACTCACTGATATTCATTCATTCATTTATTTATTCCGCCTATTTGTCATTTCATCGTCCGGTATTATTTATCAAAATAAAAGTTGAAAGAAAAAACAATAGTGAACAAAACGAAACAAAAAAAAATCATCAAACGGTTTTCTATACACTACACTTTTATTTTTAAATCACCTGCTCCCCCCCCCACTTGAAAAATGTTTCTTTTTTGTTGTTTAGTCGAGTACAAAAGAAAATACCGTCATATATTTTCTTTTTTGATCTTGTTATCATATCCGTTCTTAATTTTAGTTATCTTTTATTCCGTTCATTATCAATATCATTAAAATACTTTAAGGCACCCACTATTAGCCAATACACATACACACATAGATAGACAAATTGACATGGATGATTTTTACCATTGAAGATACATAGAAATAAGTATCTATGTATATAGGTATAATATTGACAATTAAAGTAGTATGTTATACCAATAAGATTTTTCGCGCCCTATTTGATCTAATTACATTATATTATTCCTGTTTATTTGTTGATTATTGTTAGTTTCATCAAAAGAGAAATATAAAAGACTCTATTATATTAACAGTATGTGGATTGATCGACTGATTACTATCAGTAAACTAGAAGAAAGAAAACATATACTGTTGTAGAAGAAGAAGAAGAAGAAGAAGAAGAAGAAGAAGAAGAAGAAGAAGAAAGAAAGAAAGAAAGAACAATCTTGAAAGATGAAAGTGTTCCGACAATTTTTTTTTTGAAATTTCTTTTCAGAATATTTATTTACATCAAACCTATCAATCAATACTAATCAAATCGATATGATATGATTGATTGATTAATCATTGAATGAATGTAAATGGTCATCAATAGTTATTTACATAGATAATAAGTATTAAATAAACAGTGTTAACTACCAATTATTATCAGTATGGGATTGTGGAGATTATCAAGTTTTTGATTAGGATCATGAATCGATTAACGTTAGATCATCATCGAAAACCTGAAAGCACTGAACAGTCGTTTCGTCCTAATATAAGACTACGAATGACTGTAAATATTCAAAATGAATTCAGTTCATGAACATTTTGTTATTTCATATAGTTTGTTATTCATCGGATGTATTCTACTCGTACATGAATATGGAGTCGATCAAATCGGAAGTTAGGGAATAGTATATTGATAACATTAAATGAAAAAAAGGAAATATATTTATTGTTAATGCGTCTTAACTAAATTTGAGAATATGAGTAAGTAAATATTAACCTTATTGTCTGAATGGTGTCATGTTCACCAAGTATATAGTTGTTAATAAACATTATTAAATGGTTTCAAATCAGAGATCAACTAGGTATTCCGTGTTTTGTTAATCGCTCACAAATGGTGTAGAAACTAATACAAACGTGAGTTAATCCAACTTTGTATATCATGTCAATACAACGCGACGTAACTAATAAGATGAATATCAAAGGAAACTAAATAATCTTATTAATGATCAGAATGAAAAAAACTCCTCAGCAGTGCGCATCCACAATCTCACTCACGGGATTTAAACCCAGGGCCTTCAGTCTCGCGCGCGAATGCTAAACCTACTGAACCACTGAGCCGGCATCCAATAGTATTAATGTCTATACTGACAATCATTATGAGCCCATTTCGAAGAAATTAAATGAAAGGAAGCACTTTGTGAAAGAAAGATAAAGAGCAAATCCATTTGCATTATTTTCTGATCAGTTCTATACCATATCTAAACCATATCTCCAAACAATGATTGTAATCATCAAACTAATTCCAAACAAATAGTACTCTTCACTTATCAATATAACTCCCTAGTTTGTAACAATTTTCCATTTGACAACCGTTTACAATTTTAAAAAATCAAATTATCCAGCCTGACAATTAAACTAATGTAATCTTATAAATTATTTGCAAACTGTTAAAATGTTTAAGAAAACATTCATTTGACAGCCTTAAAAGAAGGAAATATAAGAGTATAGGCTAGGTGTTTAAAAACTCCTAACTAACTTACAAAAAATGTCTTATTGATTCATGTAAGATGAACCTATACTTAGCGAATTCATTCACATTCCATTTCAATTATTTTTTTGTTTTTCATTAGTTAAACCGCTTCATAACCTTAAAGTTTGTCGGTAATTTTCTTAGAATTTACCCAAAATACTTCAAAATTTTAAAATAAAGAGAAAAAAACCTATTCACAATAATCTATTTCAATAGATCAATATCCTGTAACCCTCCCCCCCCTAATGTACGAGTAGTAATTATGTATAGTTTCTGTAGGAACAAAAATTAATTTTTCCTTAAAGTTGATTAATTGTACTTCTTTTTAAAAAAAAAATAATATTTCCTAAATTATGTTTGTCCCTGTCCTAAAATACTCCGTGCAAGGACGGAGTTGGAAAAAATGAGTTAAGACTCATTGTATTGTGCCTCCCCACGGAAATCTTTAGTAAAAGGCGAAAGATTTATCCGCAAATGAGGAGACACCAGAGTTACAACTGGACGGAGCTGGAAAGGATTGCCCAGGACAGGGTTGGATGGAGAATGCTGGTGAGTGGCCTATGCTCCTTCACGAGGAGTAACAGGCGTAAGTAAGTAAGTAAGTAAATTATGTTTGAAACTTGAATGGTATTATTGAATATTGGACAATATGAAGTTAAACTGTCCGTTAATAAACAAAGATGAATAGTGGTTAGTAGTGGAATCTAGGACGTGCGTTTCATCTTATTTGGGACTCGTCAGAGTTGATGTTCACCACCGTATTATCCACTTAGCTCTACTGAATCCTGATAGCTACCTGTTTATATAATGGGGTGAAATTTTAAATTCACTTGATGTTGTTAACTTGTATCTTTCGATTGCTATTTAGGATTGCAATTGATCAGTCTCTGATTGGCAACACGCGTCCTGGATTCCACTGTTAACCACTAATAATCGTTGTTTATAAAGCTTGTGAATTAAGGCAATATTTAGGCAGTCCGCACAGGATACACATATGAGAGACTAATCAATTGCAATTCTAAATAACAATGGTAAGATACAAGTAAACAGCATCAAGTGAATTTATCCGTTAACAACATTACAATGTAGATATAACACATTATCGCATTATTATTATTCCTTCCTAATGTTAGAATATTTATTATTTCAGATTAAGAAATGTAATTCAAAAAAGATAACAATGTTCTCTAGAATTTGTAAAAGCGGTATCTATAAACGATTTTAAGCTTATATCGTATAGGCAGATGATCAATGGATTGATAACTAATACAATAAGTTGTTCTTAGGACTAAAATGGATTCATACCAATAAAGTCTATACACGACTAGTTGAAAGTTACATTTGTCCACCTGGAGCCCCTCTGGGGCTACTGCCGGTCCCAACCCCGGATAAAGGAGGAGGGTTGGACATGCGGCTAGCAACCCCATCCCGTAGAAGACTAACTCGCTAAAAGAACGCTAACCAGAAAGTAAGTAAGTAACGATTAACGAAAATGTCTCATTGCACAGTTTACATTTTACGCATAAATCAAATTGAAAATATAACTATACAAAGTTATTATATTTTGAGTAGATACATACACAAATCGGTACAAGTATATATATATTTTTTTTTCACTATTCAAAATAAATATTACACTTTTTTGCAATTAATCACTCACTTTTGATCGTCCGACCATTCCAGATGATGAAGATGATGATAATGCATCTGCAGATAATTGATGTTGACCAAATCCTGTTAAATTTGTTCCACCATGCCCACCTGGTAAATGTCCGATAAAATTTTGTGAATTATTATTAGTATTATTATTAAAATTGCCTGATAACCCAGATGGATGATTTGTATAAGGTGAACCAAGATGTGGTGGTCTAAGTTCATTACCACCTCCAAACCCGATGGATTTGAATACAATCCAGGATAGTTTGAATGATTACCATGATGTGGATGGAGTTGCTGTTGATGGTGATTATGATGTAATTGTTGTTGTTGTGCGTAATAACTTGAAGAGTCTGAAAAACCAGACATTGGGGAATTATGCGGATTAGGATTATATCGTGGATCACCACCACTACCACCACCTCCAAACATTGAATGGAATGCATTACTGGATCCAGCAGGTAAATTCGAACATGGATACATACCGCCTAATCCTAATAATCCACCCATTTGTGTTACAGACGATGCTGCTGCAGCGGCAGCAACTGCCGCGTAGGCAGCTGCTGGATCCCCATGAAATCCTGAATGATGCTGATGATTATTATTATTATTTGCAAAATTTCCAATATTTGGATGAGATAAATTATGTTGCATATTCAATCCTCCATTTGAATCATCAATTAAATTATTAAACAGATTCGTTGTTGGTGTTGTTGTTGTAGAATGACCACTGGGAAGATTTCCATGTTGTAACCCTAACGATGTATTTGAATTAATTATTGATTGATTCATTGAACAATTAACAGGTTGTGGACTATTGCCTGAACCAGTTGATCCAGCAGAATCTCTATCTTCAATTACTAAATCAATCGGCATTTTACCGCGTAAACATGTTATATAACGAGAACAGAAGTTATCACAGAGTTCATGAACCTATATTAAATTGAATAATAATTAAAGATATATACATATTATATAAATATATATATTTATGTATATATGAAGAACACATTAGAATGTAAATCTAAAATTTATAAATAATACTTGTTTATGATAGAAATACTTTATCATCTATTATTGATTTATTTATTTATACAACCCAGTCATACTTGATGAAGAAACGCTGGAAGAGGTGGGATCTTTCATGTACGTGGGAAGCGTCATTGATAAATAAGGAGGATCTTATGCAGACGTAAAGGCGGGAATTGGCAGAGTAAAACAGCATCCCTACAGTTGAAGAATATATGGAACTCAAAACAACTTTCTGTCAACCAACACCCAAGTCAAAATCTTCAATATGAACGTCAAGTGCACGGAGTTGAAAATTAGAAAACTACTAGAACTATCATCAGCAAAATACAAGTATCTATAAACTGTTGTCTACGTATGATACTGAATGTCTGTTGGTCGGATACCATCAACAATAGCCTATTACGGCAGAGAACAAATCAGGTCCCATATGAAGAGGAAAACGCGAACAAACGTTGGAAGCGGACAGGGAATACATTACGGAAATCATCAAACTGTATCACGAGTCAAACCCTAACTTGGAATCCTGAAGGGAAATGAAGAAGAGGAAGACCAAAGAACACACTGTGTCGAGAACTGGAAGGAGACATGAAAATTATAAATATAACTGGAACCAACCGGAAAGGATTGCTCAGGACATAGTTGGATAGAGAATGGTGGAGGGCGATATATGCTCTTCCACGAGGGGGTGACAGGTTAAGTAACAAGTAATGTATCATATAAAGTATAAAGGATTTGCGGGGATTGTTGAATTTCATAGTTTTCATCACAGATTGAACCTGATGGTGGGTCTATAATTTGTGTACGATATTTGAGCGATGGTTAAGTGAATTTGAGAATGTCCAATTACTTGCTACGGCTAAATAAGAGCTATAAATTAGTGTGAGGAATTAAGATTAAGATTTACAATCGGACGTCAGGGTTAGGACTTAGAGTTTGGGTTTTCATCACAATAATGGAATCCACGTCATGCATTTGATTCTATTCGGGACTTGTCAGGTGAATGTACCTGGATTTCAGTGATAAACATGAGTGTAAACAAAACGATCTTCCTAGAGTTTTTTGCTAACGGCAGATCACGTATTACTAAAACGTGCTACTTAACATTATACTGAGGCGATTTTCTAAGGATGCTAATTTAACAACAGAGATTGATCAATTACAGTCCTGAATATTAATAACAGTAAGGTACGAACCATTACTGAAAGAAACAGTGTGCTTTGTGATGATTTACTTCAATTCAAAACTTACTTTCATCACATATCAATATTGGCTGGGGGAACTATTGAAAATCGGTAAACATTGAACAGTTGTTTTGTCTTATTTTTCTGGGTCACTACTGTTTAACAGTGGATGATCACAACACTACACGTGGTGAAATGTAGGGTAGTGTTTTTAAACGTGTCTTAAAGAACTCGATACTTACTTCAATGACTTTGGAACATAATTTAAGGATCATGCAGTTTTCTCCCTCTTGGTAATTAATATTATTACGGTATGTGTTTATGTATTCAACTTAGATCTTGACTGATTGTATGTACGGTTTAGCAACACTAAAATCAGTCTAAATCGAACTAAGTGAAATAGAATTTGATTGCATAACATACTGATCGAAAGTCAGTCAGATGCTACAACTTCTATAAAGCTACTATTTAACTTTTGGTTCATGATGTAAAGTTCGCAAAAGATGATATCATCTCACAATAATAGATGATGATATAATTTAAAGTCAACTATTAACTGATCAGAACTGATCATAGGATATCGTGTTTCTATACAATGATTTTACAACTGAGTAAAATGAAAATATCAATCAGTCTTGAGTATGAAGGCAGATATCACTTCCCGGGAATTAACACCGTAAAAGGGTTCCCCTAGAGGTACTCGTAAAGGAAATTGTGTTAGAGTTGATCTTAGTGACCTGACAGTGTGACTACAGTACCCAAGGGATCAGTGCTTGAGGACAGTCACATAAAACCTTTGGTAATTTTCGTGTTAGCTCCGTACTTGTTGGGACCTTACCTCCGGAGACGGAAATCCGTAAGATAAGATGAGGTGTGCAATTTTCGGGGTCGACTTTTTCTGACCACATCCATCCTTGTTGGAAGGCAGCATCGCTTTTACGCTGATTATCTGAAAGGACCGTCACATCTCTGTACAATCAACAGTACGAGTTCCTCCTCGAATTTTGTGTTTGCTGATTTTAGTCTTACTGCTCTTCAACCGACCTATCTGGGATGGGAGGACCTTGAGGAGCGATTGTTATAGCCAGTATAGCTCCATCGGTTCATCACGATAGAAAAGTCTAACCACCACATCAAGGGATGCAGTAACGGTCGGGAATGAAAATATACAGAGATCAAAGATAAAATGTCAAATAAACAAATAGCATTGTAATTAGATAGACTAAATCAATCAATTAACAAATAAATAAATCACACCACACATATCACTTACTTTTTCTATTTCAAGAAGATGAAATCGGAGAACTTGAATAGCTTGGATTATCTAAATGTTGTTTTAAAGCCAAAAAGAAAAGAAAAGATGATGAAAAATAAGTATGCATGTGTTGGGTGGATGGGTGGTTGTTGGGATGATTGAGTGATTATGGTAGAATATTAAACAAATAATTTTACAAAATAAATTTCATTCAGAATATTTGTGCATATGTGTGTGCATGTGTACATTTCACACACTTGAATGTGTGATAATAATGACAGGAATAACAACAATCTAATATACAAAATATAGAAAGAAAGAAAAAAGGTAAACGTCTAATTGAGGAGAAAAATATGATATATGAGGTTGTTGTTGTTGTTGTAGAAACATTCTTAGATCATATTACTTAGATGTGAGTATAAAAAATAACGAGATATGCCAGAATTGATTTGTGTTTTTTTTCTTTGCTTTTTTCTCTCGAATAGGTGTAATCAGAATGAAAAATTTATTGGAATTAATTAACCTATGAAATAAATATTTTTCTCTATGCCAAATATGTGTGCGTGTGTGTGTATGTGTATGTATGTATGTAAAATATACATACACAAACACACATATTCCCTCTCCCCCTCTTTAAATATCAGTTAACAACACATACATAATTTTACATATAGTTGCAAAAAGAAAAAAACGGTTATCTCGTCTTTTTTTTTCTATGCAAAAATTTAAAAAAATTTTGAAATGAATTTACAAATTCATTATTTGTAACTTTTTTTGTTTTTCAAGGGAAATAAAGTGTAGATGTTTAATAACATGGCGCCAAAATGAGAAAACGTGATCGATTTTATATATATATATATATATATATATGGATGTCTAGTTTGGATTTGTATGATTTATAGTCTAGTGCTTCAAGGTTTACAATGGTGGTCTAGCTTAAATCGATTCATGAATTCAACTATTACAATTACTACAATCTCTACAAATATCAATCCTGATAATAATAATAATAATCATGTGACTAGTTTCATAGTTTTAGTGAGAAGCCTTTATCAGTGTACTCCAATCCATGTCGTGTATGAGACAGTTATTTAACTCAGAAAATGGATGAAGGGTTATGTAAGATCATGAATCGATTGAAGTGAAACATTAACATTGTTCGATACTAGCCGGTTCAGTGATCTACAGGTTAAGTGTTCTCGCACGAGATCTAATATGTCAAATTCGAGTCCCATATACAGGATCGTGAATGTGCATTGTTGAGCAGTCGCATACTAGGATATGATAACCGTCCAGTGCTTCCAGGCTTTCAATGATAGTCTAGCTTTGATCAATTCATGAATTCAACTATTAAAACTAAAGGAACGAGTAACTCTGAGTAGTCTTATTCCAAGAAGAATGAACCATTCAGAAGTCTAAAAGGTATACATAAACAAAATAGATGATAATTGGGTATCATATCTCTCAGTATGTCCCATTATGAGGCACAAACCAGTAAGAATCCTAGCCTTAATAGGATCAAACATAGCAATTTCGTTCTTTTATTTGTAACTCATGATGATATTTCGATAGTTGATGTGAATGCTACTTCGTCTAGAAATAACTTCAAATGAAAAATATTAATATTGGTTTAGAAAAATATTAAAATTGAAGTCCAGTATGATAATTATCCACTGCCACAGATGACAGTCGTTTTATCAGCGATATGCTCGGAATCAGTCAGTTACGACTTTTTATTAGGGCTCCGAGAATACCTTGAAATTACTAGTTGCTTGAATATTATAGTTTAGTTGAAGGGAGTTTGGTGGAGATATGGTTTGATTTGCAGGGTTCCTGATTAGATTGACCTCAACCAAGGTATAGGTGAAAACCGAGAAATATTAGATGGTTTTTTGCCTCCTCGATAATGTCCACTTACAAGCATGCCAGAGTTCGAACACAGGATTTTCAGACCGTTCTGAGAAGGTCCAACCCTCAGAATCACTAGGTTTACGTACACTGATACAATTCTAATAGAAATATACAAAAAGCGGATTGGCAGCAGATGCGATATATATATATATACGAAAAAATACTTAACTTACCAAAGAATCTAACTCGGGATCACCAGTGCGAATAGTTTTTTGGAATTAACTAACTATAAGACAAAAAATACAGAAAAAGCGAAACAATTAGAGACCATTAATTAAAGGCTGAGTTTTTTATTCAATCCTAATCTAAATGGGGTATTTTTATGGAAGGCATTGTTGTATAAACAACCATTTTTACATTCAATTAGTTAAAGATTTAAAGAGCAGTACAGGACAATCATTCTAAATTAGTTACGTGGTTAGATGCTTAAAGAGAGAGAGCTTTCAGTTGTCTATTTGTATCTTTCAGTGTGTACCGCCATCTAAACTGTCTTCTTGTCTAGTCTCTAAGTGTTTTGCCTATGTTATACTTTCGCTTACTGAAACTTCTCACTTTGTCGAAAAATTCGAGACCACCTTCCAAAACATACTACTTTCAAGAATCATATGAGTAGCGTCCATCACATTAGTACTACAAAAAAGAGAGAAGTTTCCTTTACGTAGTATATGTGCAAGTAAACTATCCTCTTCATTTGCCTTATCTCTTCTTGCTTTGTCATTGAGGTATTACTCTATTCCACCTTTTTATCAATGTTATTTATATGAAACAGATGTGGACCAATTTTTAAATCAGAATTGCTATCTTATATACATTTTTATTTGTCCTATTTCTTGCTCTCACTCCTTTTCTCTCTCTCACTCACTCACACACACATGCACACTATCTCTCTCCTGTTGATGTTGCTAACAATTTTTAAAGGAAATTCAAATGAGCGGTTCGTATGTATCTATATGTGACCGTGTTTATGTGGGCACTTGGTTCAACGTATCTATTCGTAACATACATAAAGGGATAAAAAACTTAGTAAATAGTTGATTATCCATATGCTCAGAAGATATATATATCCCACGTTCATAAGAATACATCGAAGGAAATTGATACTTTAAATTTTACAGGCGTAATAATAAAAAAGGTGTTCTATGTTATTTTTTTACCATTTTGGTCGTACACTAATAAAATATGGGCCCAGTTATAGACTGTACCAGATAGTGGACTATTTAAAAAAATGAGGGTTCAAATAATCGTTTTATGTGTGCTTGTATGTACCAGTAATTTCAGTGTTAAGTAGTATATATATCGTATATATATCGTGAGACAGAATGATGAATGAGACTGTTATAAGACCACGACCTATCTCATAGATATTTTCACTTCAAGTTATTATAATGGAATACAACACCTTGCATAATAATGAAAGATGATCACAGTTGAATGTCATTTTTTTTAAAGCAGATAACTGTTACAATTATGAATTAGAGTTATTTAATATTAAGAACATTGATACAATTCATATATGTAGACTAAACAAGCCAATTAAATACTAAGTCATAAAGTACCATCTCAAGATTACATATACACTTGGCTGGTAAGTGACAAATAGAATGAATCCTGGGTCCATCGTTTTCTATCAACTACCATCTTACATCTCAGCGTCATGCACCCGATGTTAAGTCACTTGAACTGGTGACTAAATCCCAGTTTTGAACAATTGAATTCCATTACCATGAAGAAGGATTTGATATGTATGACATTACACACTATTCACTAATATTTCTTTAGGGATTCACATTTGTATCATCATAGTTTATCACAGAGGTATTTACAAATATTGACTAATCTTCTCATCGATTAAGTTATGAGCACACTAATGGATCATTATTATTCATAAACATTGTATATATCAATGATAATAATCTGTTTGTTTATTTTTAAGTGTTATCAACAGTTCATCATCAAATCAATAAATTTTAACCCAATGAAAACCATTATACAATAAGTATATGTAAAAAGAAAGAAAATAATAATGGATAGTGATATCAACTAGAATATCTTTTTTCTTTCGGAACACAACAACGTTATAATGACAGATCACCGAAAAAGAAAAGAAAACAAAATAGAACAGATGTCAACTTTAAAGTTTCCCTCTCTTCCTCTCTGTTTCTTACCGATAGCTCTAAGAGATAAGTGGACGGATATATTTCTGTGATTACCGTATGAACGAATGCATATAAATATATACATATCAGTGTGTTGAGTTTGTGTGAGTGTACAATGTATACAGTTGTGTATACATAAAGCAAAATAATCATTAATTAATTAAGTCACATTAACTACTAACTGAAATAATTGATAAACTGAACCCTAGAAATTGAAACAGTCTATTCAACGAAAGTTAAAATCCGTTTGTTTGTGTGTGTGTATATATGTGTGTATGGACATATGCATATATGTACACGAGTAAATAAAAGTAATAAGTTGAATGATAAATGGAAAATAAGGAAACAAATATGGTAACAAGGTTCATTTACTTCATAAGATGATTGAGTATTTAATATCAGTTGTACATCAAGAATTGACTTTTATTAGACAACTATTACATATTCTTAAAGATTACATAACAATTTTGTCCTAATATATAGATTCATCAGTATAGTGTATATATATATCTCTAAAGTTAGTTTGTGATGTACAATTATAAATTTCAATACCCCCCCCCAACGTATTAAAGAATGGAATCAAATTGAGAATGTATTCATTAAAAGTTCTTGTCCTATCAACCATCGTCCTTAGGCAAAAAAAACACAGCTTGGATTCTAGTAAACTAATAAACAGGAAACATTAACAATACATTTTTAAAGATACCAAGTAGTAATACCTGGAATATTCAACAGAATAATGAATAAATTTGTTAATTATTAACTATGAACTTACTTCTTTCGCAAATACAATAATATCTTCATTAAATGATTCAGATGACCATACTTCCATATTACCTGTGTTTGTATTACCGGAAGCTGAAGCAGCAGCAGCTGACATTGGATCTCGTGGTGTACATGTGGCTAATTCACATTTCTCAAAGATCAATGCCAATAATGGAAATAATGGATGTCTAATAAAGAAATGAATAAACAATAAATTATAAGTTGATGGTTTTTTTTTCAATTTGAATAGTTAAGAAATACTACTTAAATAAGGAGAGGAAAAAATCGAATAGTTTCAAAGCCTATTATGATTTATGGAATGATCTACTTATCATTGAATAATTGGTTCCGTCAATATTCATTTAATATAGACAAATAGAGTGTATATATGTGTGCATGCGTGTGTGTGTGTGTGAATCATTTCATAGTTCAAGTAAACATAACCATCTAGTTGGTTTTCACTTTGAAATTGTTTTTCTAAATAAATAAATATCTATGTCATTCTAGATGAAAATCTATAACAAAATACACCGTCACATTCACTCATTTCTAATATAAATGATAACTCATAACTATTTCATAATGATGAGCATATTTTGTTACTAGACACTCATGTAAACATACGTACTCACCTACCCATATATATATATATATAAATATATATATATATATATATGTGTGTGTGTGCTTGTGTGTGTAAACAATTACCTAAACAACTTACACACAATATCTATTCACTTTACCCAAAAACGATATACAATAAACAAAGATGAATTGAATTAAAAGTTAATTGTATTTTATTTTTCGTCGACAACACAAATAACAAATATTGTTAAGTGTAAGAAAGAAAAAAAAAGAGCGCCATAAAACTTTTAGATAATTAAAAACAACACACATAAATAGCTTTGAAAAATAAAATGAAATATTATGCAATAGGTTATATGTTTGTAAGTTTGTAATTTATCCGTTACTCAATCGTTAATATTATCTAACAGTTAAGCGCTTGTGCGCGAATCTGATAGGTCCTGAACTCGAATCTCGTGGATGGCGGAATCGTGAATGCATACGGCTGAGGAGTCCCATAGTAGGACGAAACAGCCGTCCAGTGCTTTCAGGTTTTTTATGCTGGTCTAGCTTCAATTAACTCATGATTTCAACTATTGAAACTATTAATATATCTGTTGAATCAAATAATTACATACCCTTTTATCATACATTCAGTTGATGAGTACTTCACATAAGAGTATAGATTACATTGAATATTTCATTCCTATCTCTAATCTTCATATCCGACAAGTTGAAGTGTACTATAATGGTGTGTTCATAGAAGATAATCTGTAGATAATTTTAAATGATTCGAATGAAATGCTCAATGAGCATTATAATGTGATATACAGAGTAATACTCGAAAATGCAAGATATTTCACATTTATGAAGAAAGAATGACCAATCTCATACACATAAGTGAATATATATATATATATATATATATATATATATATATATATATCATTCAACTGAGTGTATACATTAAATAACTTGAAGGATAAGACGTAAATTGTTTGTTATTTATAGTCGGAAAACATTTAATTTAGGTCAATAAATATAAACTGATTAATTGTTTTTACAGTTTTATCCAGTATACGTAGATGACAAAATGAATATTAAATCGAGTCATTTTTAACATTTGATTATGTTATTATATGTTAATCATAAGTGATCTAGAAGTAAAGCGTTCACATGCGAAACCTAAGTTCCTGGGTTAAAATCCAAAGTGTGGGATCATAGATACGAACAGTTAAGGAGACTTGTAATGTCAGTTATTGTGTTAAGCCCATATACTTTATTCTAACTTTCGGACAGTCCAATCTATTCATTCTACTTGAGTCATATTTTGACTTTGTTAATTATTCGCTTATCAGTCTTGATTGTTTTTATATGAGCGTATGTGTGTGTACACTTCATATCCCATATCTCATCACATGTCTGTGGTTTATTTTGTCTGCCTATAAATATTGAGTAACGCCTGGCTAAAAATGAGTTAGCTTACCAGCCATCTCCACTGCGCGGCATTTTGCTTTGTTCTATTACATTCCCTTTGCATACAAAATATATGTATTCAAAAACCAGTCATGTTAATTGACTTGTCTAAATTCCATTATTTACTAACGTGATTTAAGTCGATGATTGTATACGAGGATAGGTGATAAAAAACAATCATACAGTCTAAATGGAGTCAGATCCACGGGCAACTAAAGACTCATACTAGGATGAGATGGCTGTTCAGTGCTTTCAGGTTTCCAATGGTGGTCATGATCTCAATCAAAGCAAAATATGTTAACCATGTTTTCAGAAGTAATTTACATGAATAAATGATTATCAAAATTTAAAGGTTGGAAATGCGTATTACCGTAGCTGCCCACAGTTTAATGGTAATATTTTGCTGATATTAATTTGTAATCAATGTTTACTGATTATTGGATGGTAACAATGAATTCATTTTGTTTGTTTTAAAGACGAAGTTACTAAATTACACACACTAGTAATATAAAGTTATGCTTAAAAGGTATAATGTATCCGGTTACTTATAGATCTTAATCTGTATAGAATGGGAGTAGAAATATATATTCCTCGAAAAAGTGATATTAATATACTTTACTTTCAGTCATTCATTTTGCCTATTTGAACCGATAGAATCATTATAATACTATTAATCTACATAAATCAAACAAGGTGGAATGAGATTCGAACACTTGAGCTTATGGTTGTAAGTCTTATTGTATAAAATTATGACAATTTCATTAAATGGTTCAGTTGGGCTATTAGTCTACACTATTCAGATTTACTTTCCAATATAAATACCACGGTTACAGATGTACATTAAGGAGCTGTTCCATACAAGAACTCAAGATATGTCCATTCCTTTCAGGTTTTCGAAGATAATAAGCTTGAGTGCTTTTATGATCGATGTCATCAACACTATCTAATTTTATTATTTTTGCAAGAAAATACATATACATAAATCTGTTAGTCACTCCATACTTAGTAAACATATAAATAGCAACAGTCATCAACAGACTGACTACTAATGGATAGTAAACATTACAATTAACTACTCTACTTAAACAAATATCATTGAATTATTCTATTTTTTATCAGTATGGGGGTTGTGGAGATTGTTAATTTTCTGATAGGGATCATGAACTGATTGAAAACCTGAAAGCACTGGATGGCCGTTTCTTCCTATTGTGGGACTCCTCAGCAATGCGCATCCACAATCCCGTTCGCGAGATTCGAACCCAGAGCTTCAGTCTCGCGCGCGAACGTTTGACCTAATGGACCATTGAGTTGGCATCCAATGGTGTTAATGTCCAACCTCAACCAATCCATGAAATTTCGCAGCCTCTCATTAAAAATTCAGTATTCGATTATCAATGTGTACATATTTATTTGATTCCGTCGTATATTCATTAATTAAACAGTCAACTAACTAATTAACTGACTGTTTATTCACTTAATTGTATGAATAATTAAATAATTACATTTTCTCATTCTCCCTATATTTTGAATGAATCGATATGTCAAATGAAAATACCACCATCATCATCATCATTAATTTGAATTAGCGTCATTAATATCAACTCTTAATGTGACAGGCTACACGTCATAGTGATATATGTGAGAGAGAGGCAGAAGGAGAGGGAGAGAGAATGATCAGTCAACTAAATAGATGAATAATTTCTAGGTGAATAATAATAATAACTTACCGGTGTAATCAAATTGAATATCGTTATGCATGTGTTAGGTATATGTTTTATATCTTTGATAATGTACACTTATTGTTTATGTAATAACTAGTTATATTGATTAGACTAGTCAAATCGAGGTGTAATATGTATATGTAATGGGATTTTAATTCATTACTGTATATTTATTAGTTGAATGTTTAATTCACATTTTAACTATTCATCTATCACTTGTAATAATTTATGGAACAGATTTTAACTTATTTATTCCGATTATGTTGATATACAGTTTGTTCATTTAAACCATTGTAAACGTCTACTTGTATATATATGTCATTATTAGTGACTGACTTAATTAGGATTATCAGTATGAAGATTTATAGAAATATTAGCAGGTGTATTCACGAGTCAATCTAAATTAGATCATCATTGAATATCTGGATGCATTGGATGGCCGTTTCGTCTGAGTAATGTGCATCCACAGTTCTGCACTACTGAGGAGTGGCCCGAGATCGGACTCCAGTTAGATCGAATGAAATATACATATCGCCAATTCTCGTATATGATCATCGACTTAAATCATGTTGGTGAATAATGGAATTAAATAAGTCAAGTACGAGAATCAAATTCGAATATGTATAATTTATACAATCGTTGATTGAAACAGACAATCAGAGAATTGCAGCGAGTTGAGCGAAACAAAAGGGCGCGCAGTGGAGAAGGAGTGTGAACCAACTCAATTCAAACAAGCGTGAATCAATAGTTATAGCCACATAAAAATAAGTTACAAACATGTGATAAATAGGATAAGAAGTGCATACGCATACTCTTGTTTATATAAAAACAGTCAAGGTTGATAAGTGAATAATTAACAAGGTCAAAACGTGACTCAAGTAGAATGGATAAATTGGCCTGTCCAGAAGTTAAAATAAGTTATATGAGCTTAACATAGTAACCGACACTACACCACATTTGAACGAACAGGCCATCCACTGCTACCAGATGTTCAATGGTGGTCTACCCTTAAATTGATTCGTGAATTCAACTGCTAATTAAGATGAAAAAATATGCCAATATGATTGTTGTATATTATTCTTTTACTATAAATGAAATGATATCTAAAATAATTCGATTTTTCCTCTCTAACCTACTCAGTATATAGGGTAAAATAATCATTTATAAATTAACTGATCAGATTTGAGATTGTACCTCCTCAATACAGATGAGAAATACAATCATCCATAACATTCTGGTATAATATTAATGTATGATAATAAACTCTAACATTCATTTCAAACCGTTAATCATAATCTTAATTTGCCACACTACTTTATAATCCTTTGATTGATTGGAGTTTCCTAAGAGCACTTTAATATCACTTAAATATCATTTACAGATTGTTATAGTTACTCCTGATAATGCCACAGGTAATTGTAGTTTGA